CAAAATTTTTGTTGTTGAGATTTTGTGTCCTAATGGTCCCTCGTGATACCTTGAACTCCATAAACTAAATTATTCCAAGATTTGGAGCCGAAATCTATGAAAAAAGGCACTCAGAAAAATTGAAAAATTCATAAATCACTCCAAATTGCTTAACACGATTTTATCTCAGGAACCATAAGTGCAAATAAGCTGAAACTTTCAGGGGTTATAGTACTTTCAGTGAGATAAATTTCAGTGAAAGTTTCAGCCTTCTATCTATAATAGAAAAAAAGTTATGATCTTTCAAAGTTTTCCAAAATCTAAATCATAAAGGTAGCTACCTTCTTACTAAAACGATGAAATTTCAAAATTTTTGTTGTTGAGATTTTGTGTCCTAATGGTCCCTCGTGATACCTTGAATTCCATAAACTAAATTATTCCAAGATTTGGAGCCGAAATCTATGAAAAAAGGCACTCAGAAAAATTGAAAAATTCATAAATCACTCCAAATTGCTTAACACGATTTTATCTCAGGAACCATAAGTGCAAATGAGCTGAAACTTTCAGGGGTTATAGTACTTTCAGTGAGATAAATTTCAGTGAAAGTTTCAGCCTTCTATCTATAATAGAAAAAAAGTTATGATTTTTCAAAGTTTTCCAAAATCTAAATCATAAAGGTAGCTACCTTCTTACTAAAACGATGAAATTTCAAAATTTTTGTTGTTGAGATTTTGTGTCCTAATGGTCCCTCGTGATACCTTGAACTCCATAAACTAAATTATTCCAAGATTTGGAGCCGAAATCAATGAAAAAAGGCACTCAGAAAAATTGAAAAATTCATAAATCACTCGAAATTGCTTAACACGATTTTATCTCAGGAACCATAAGTGCAAATAAGCTGAAACTTTCAGGGGTTATAGTACTTTCAGTGAGATAAATTTCAGTGAAAGTTTCAGCCTTCTATCTATAATAGAAAAAAAGTTATGATTTTTCAAAGTTTTCCAAAATCTAAATCATAAAGGTAGCTACCTTCTTACTAAAACGATGAAATTTCAAAATTTTTGTTGTTGAGATTTTGTGTCCTAATGGTCCCTCGTGATACCTTGAACTCCATAAACTAAATTATTCCAAGATTTGGAGCCGAAATCTATGAAAAAAGGCACTCAGAAAAATTGAAAAATTCATAAATCACTCGAAATTGCTTAACACGATTTTATCTCAGGAACCATAAGTGCAAATAAGCTGAAACTTTCAGGGGTTATAGTACTTTCAGTGAGATAAATTTCAGTGAAAGTTTCAGCCTTCTATCTATAATAGAAAAAAAGTTATGATTTTTCAAAGTTTTCCAAAATCTAAATCATAAAGGTAGCTACCTTCTTACTAAAACGATGAAATTTCAAAATTTTTGTTGTTGAGATTTTGTGTCCTAATGGTCCCTCGTGATACCTTGAACTCCATAAACTAAATTATTCCAAGATTTGGAGCCGAAATCTATGAAAAAAGGCACTCAGAAAAATTGAAAAATTCATAAATCACTCGAAATTGCTTAACACGATTTTATCTCAGGAACCATAAGTGCAAATAAGCTGAAACTTTCAGGGGTTATAGTACTTTCAGTGAGATAAATTTCAGTGAAAGTTTCAGCCTTCTATCTATAATAGAAAAAAAGTTATGATTTTTCAAAGTTTTCCAAAATCTAAATCATAAAGGTAGCTACCTTCTTACTAAAACGATGAAATTTCAAAATTTTTGTTGTTGAGATTTTGTGTCCTAATGGTCCCTCGTGATACCTTGAACTCCATAAACTAAATTATTCCAAGATTTGGAGCCGAAATCTATGAAAAAAGGCACTCAGAAAAATTGAAAAATTCATAAATCACTCGAAATTGCTTAACACGATTTTATCTCAGGAACCATAAGTGCAAATAAGCTGAAACTTTCAGGGGTTATAGTACCTTCAGTGAGATAAATTTCAGTGAAAGTTTCAGCCTTCTATCTATAATAGAAAAAAAGTTATGATTTTTCAAAGTTTTCCAAAATCTAAATCATAAAGGTAGCTACCTTCTTACTAAAACGATGAAATTTCAAAATTTTTGTTGTTGAGATTTTGTGTCCTAATGGTCCCTCGTGATACCTTGAACTCCATAAACTAAATTATTCCAAGATTTGGAGCCGAAATCTATGAAAAAAGGCACTCAGAAAAATTGAAAAATTCATAAATCACTCGAAATTGCTTAACACGATTTTATCTCAGGAACCATAAGTGCAAATAAGCTGAAACTTTCAGGGGTTATAGTACTTTCAGTGAGATAAATTTCAGTGAAAGTTTCAGCCTTCTATCTATAATAGAAAAAAAGTTATGATTTTTCAAAGTTTTCCAAAATCTAAATCATAAAGGTAGCTACCTTCTTACTAAAACGATGAAATTTCAAAATTTTTGTTGTTGAGATTTTGTGTCCTAATGGTCCCTCGTGATACCTTGAACTCCATAAACTAAATTATTCCAAGATTTGGAGCCGAAATCTATGAAAAAAGGCACTCAGAAAAATTGAAAAATTCATAAATCACTCGAAATTGCTTAACACGATTTTATCTCAGGAACCATAAGTGCAAATAAGCTGAAACTTTCAGGGGTTATAGTACTTTCAGTGAGATAAATTTCAGTGAAAGTTTCAGCCTTCTATCTATAATAGAAAAAAAAGTTATGATTTTTCAAAGTTTTCCAAAATCTAAATCATAAAGGTAGCTACCTTCTTACTAAAACGATGAAATTTCAAAATTTTTGTTGTTGAGATTTTGTGTCCTAATGGTCCCTCGTGATACCTTGAACTCCATAAACTAACTTATTCCAAGATTTGGAGCCGAAATCTATGAAAAAAGGCACTCAGAAAAATTGAAAAATTCATAAATCACTCCAAATTGCTTAACACGATTTTATCTCAGGAACCATAAGTGCAAATGAGCTGAAACTTTCAGGGGTTATAGTACTTTCAGTGAGATAAATTTCAGTGAAAGTTTCAGCCTTCTATCTATAATAGAAAAAAAGTTATGATTTTTCAAAGTTTTCCAAAATCTAAATCATAAAGGTAGCTACCTTCTTACTAAAACGATGAAATTTCAAAATTTTTGTTGTTGAGATTTTGTGTCCTAATGGTCCCTCGTGATACCTTGAACTCCATAAACTAAATTATTCCAAGATTTGGAGCCGAAATCTATGAAAAAAGGCACTCAGAAAAATTGAAAAATTCATAAATCACTCCAAATTGCTTAACACGATTTTATCTCAGGAACCATAAGTGCAAATAAGCTGAAACTTTCAGGGGTTATAGTACTTTCAGTGAGATAAATTTCAGTGAAAGTTTCAGCCTTCTATCTATAATAGAAAAAAAGTTATGATCTTTCAAAGTTTTCCAAAATCTAAATCATAAAGGTAGCTACCTTCTTACTAAAACGATGAAATTTCAAAATTTTTGTTGTTGAGATTTTGTGTCCTAATGGTCCCTCGTGATACCTTGAATTCCATAAACTAAATTATTCCAAGATTTGGAGCCGAAATCTATGAAAAAAGGCACTCAGAAAAATTGAAAAATTCATAAATCACTCCAAATTGCTTAACACGATTTTATCTCAGGAACCATAAGTGAAAATGAGCTGAAACTTTTAGGTGTTATAGTACTTTCAGTGAGATAAATTTCAGTGAAAGTTTCAGCCTTCTATCTATAATAGAAAAAAAGTTATGATTTTTCAAAGTTTTCCAAAATCTAAATCATAAAGGTAGCTACCTTCTTACTAAAACGATGAAATTTCAAAATTTTTGTTGTTGAGATTTTGTGTCCTAATGGTCCCTCGTGATACCTTGAACTCCATAAACTAAATTATTCCAAGATTTGGAGCCGAAATCTATGAAAAAAGGCACTCAGAAAAATTGAAAAATTCATAAATCACTCCAAATTGCTTAACACGATTTTATCTCAGGAACCATAAGTGAAAATGAGCTGAAACTTTTAGGTGTTATAGTACTTTCAGTGAGATAAATTTCAGTGAAAGTTTCAGCCTTCTATCTATAATAGAAAAAAAGTTATGATCTTTCAAAGTTTTCCAAAATCTAAATCATAAGGTAGGTACCTTCTTACTAAAACGATGAAATTTCAAAATTTTTGTTGTTGAGATTTTGTGTCCTAATGGTCCCTCGTGATACCTTGAACTCCATAAACTAAATTATTCCAAGATTTGGAGCCGAAATCTATGAAAAAAGGCACTCAGAAAAATTGAAAAATTCATAAATCACTCGAAATTGCTTAACACGATTTTATCTCAGGAACTATGAGTGCAAATGAGCTGAAATTTTCAGGGGTTATAGTACTTTCAGTGAGATAAGATTCAGCGAAATCGCCTTTAGATTTTTATACAATGGTAGTACCTGTGTGGTGGTGTTGTCAAATGTTCTTATAATAGAGTGATTTACTATAAATGTCACCCCCTCTCAACTTTTTTATTTGACGTTTTTGACAAAAGTGTCACATACAAAAAGTTATGAGAAACCGTCAACTTGTCAGTTTTAAACATACAGGGTGCGTCAAAATATAATTACCGGCTTTTGATTCTTTGGAAAACCTGCCTAGAGCAGGTAATAGTCAAAATTTGAACTTTTATCAACTATGGATTCACTGGAGAATTATTGTTCTAAGGGCAGTCAAAGTTCAAGAGCCGATAATAATCAAAATATCAAAATATCAAATGATCATTAGCCACTCATAAGTTGATATTATTCAAAATTTCTTCTTTCGCAGCTTCTGATTGGCCCTAGAAGAATTATCCAATGGATCAAGAGCCACAGATAATCAAAATTTGAACTATTACCGACTCTTGATTCTTTGGAAAACCTTCCTAGAGCCAATCATAGTCAAAATTCGAACTTTTTTCAACTCTGGATTCGCTAGAGAATTGTTCTAAGGGCAGTCAATTCATAAAAAATTTGTGCAAGTACCCTATTCATTATCCCTCCAAAAATACATTTTCAGTATGTGACAATCACAATAAATGCACAATCCAACAAGTGGGCGTGACCTCGGTAAATCTACCTCATTTTGGTCTAAGGGGCACAGTGAAGTATTTTTTTCATCAACGCACAAAGTACGTATGGGTACCTGCAACAAATTCCTTCGGTACCTTAAACCAACTGTTATGGTCCCAGAAAACGTGCGACGATTACGTAGAAAATACTGAAGTTTTATCAAACAGTGAATATCTGGAATTGTAAGTTAATAATTGGATCAAATAATTATTGAGATTAATAATTATTGTTTGAAGATTTAACCTGTATGGACCAAATAAAATCGAAGTGGAAGTTAAAACTTATTGGCGATTGTTTGTTGAGGAAATTTTCAATCCTTTTTACATGTTTCAAGCATTCTCCATAGCCCTGTGGTGTTTTGATGATTATTTCATCTATGCCTTGTGCGTCATCATTCTCACTTTATTTTCCAGTATTACTTCTCTGATACAAACACGCAAGGTAAGAATTTTCCATTGTCCCATAATATATTACTTACAATTGTTGTAATTCAAGCAAAGTGAAAGCTTGCACGATATTGTTGAATCATCCAGGTGCCATGAAGTAGCAGTATTAAGGGAATTATATAGGGGCGAGACTTGCATGAAAATCAATCCTGAGCAACTTGTCCCAGGAGATTTAATTGTAATGCCCGCTTCCAATTTTATAATGCCCTGTGATGCTGTATTGTTAACAGGGCAGGCTATTGTCAACGAGAGTGTTTTAACAGGTAAGTTTAATGCCAATCCATACTTGTTTTATTTAGTATTTATTTTCAAGGTGAAAGTGTGCCAGTAACAAAAACATCACTACATTCTGGCACTGAAGCTTATTCTACCAATACACACAAGCGGCACACGTTATTTTCAGGCACCGACATCCTTCAAACGCGGTATTATGGGGGCGAAAGCGTCATTGCAAGGGTAGTAAGAACAGGCTTTGACACCACCAAAGGGCATTTAGTCAAAAGCATCCTATTCCCTAGCCCAGTCAATTTGCAATTCCACAAAGACGCATTCAAGTTTGTTTTTGTACTTTTCATTATTGCATTTATTGGAATGTTCTATTGCCTTTATTTGTATTTGTTGAGAGAAGTTAGTTGATAGTTTTGTTTGTGGGTTTGATTTATTTATTTTGACTTTTAGGCTCCGTTAAAGGAGATTTTGGTGAGGGCACTTGATATAATTACAATTGTGGTACCACCTGCTTTGCCTGCTGCAATGGCTGTTGGTACAGTGTATAGCCAAAACAGACTAAAACAATTAAAGATTTTTTGCATTAGTCCGCCTAGGATTAATGTGTGTGGCAAAATCAAGCTTGCTTGTTTTGATAAGGTGAAAAATGTTGCAAAGAAAAACTTCTTCTCACATTGCGTGTTTTAGACTGGTACTCTCACTCATGACGGTTTAAGCATGAATTCCGTAATTCCTTGTAACGATGCTCAATTTTTCGATCCTGTCACTGATATAGCTGAATTAGAAGTTCAAAGTGAGTTTGTTAGAGGCATGGCCACTTGTCACTCGTTGACCAGAATAGAAGGCCAACTAAATGGAGATCCTTTGGATTTAAACATGTTTGAATTCACAAAATGGGTAAAGGTTTGCTTTATATAGCTGAACAGTTTTGCCAACAAAAGTATTTTTAGAAAATAGAAGAACCAGGCATGGTTGAAACTAATAGATTCGACATGTTGGCTCCTACAGTTGTAATGCCTGCAAAAAGGCCCACGAAATTGAAATTGGCTCATGATGAAAAAGAATTTTGCGCTCAGGTAGTTAAGAATTTTTCTGTGTGGCCAGGTTTATTGATAAAGTGTTTTCATTCGGGCGTAAGTTGGAATTTCTTCCTGACGTTTCTGGTAGCAGACTGACGCGTTTCCGATCGTAAGTTGTATTTATGTGAGAGTGGTTGTAGTGGGGCAGGAGCGGGGCTTCACAGCACGTGAACTTTCTTTGTATTTAATGAGACACTTACATTGTATCAATTAAGCGCTCTTCTAAGAAACCCCATCAAGCAAATCGCATCTACTCCAGAACTGAAAAAGCATTTCTTCCATAAAACAAGGAAGGATCCGGCTGAAGTAGATAGAGAACTTCTTCACCATAACATACAGGCAAAGGATTGGAACAAAATTGATACTATCTTATTCTGCAGCATGGATAATCCGAACTGAAAAAGTCCAGATCCGGAAATACGAAAAGTTCTGTAAGAAACAAATCCGAAATTTCCCAGCATCTGACAAATCCAGACTGGTCATCAATCTTCCTGAAGAAGAAACAGCCGTCTTGGCAAAAGGAGGTAATTTCGCAATTGGAAAAATCAGCACCTGCAAAACATGCGCTTATTGAAGGGAATCATGAAATATTCTTTGGTCCTCACAAGCTTCTTGCACCGACTTCCGGATACCACAATCGTCTTGTACGTGAAGCTATAGAAATACACAGACATAGATAGAACTTCAACAGGAAAAGAAACACTAAAACAACCAAATCTGGAACCCGATTCTCAAAAACGGAAGAAAAATCCCATTGAGTACAGAGAAATATCAGATTAGCCACGTGCTGCGAAGCTCCGCCTCTCCCCTACTACAGCCACTCTCGCATAAATACAACTTACGGTTGGCATCACATCCAGTGTTGCCAGGTCTACCGATTTATCAGTTATTGTTGGTCAGTCAATTGGTCACATAGCGTTATGCTGTACAACTAACTGCAGCCTGTTTTACCTGTTTTTATAAGACTAGACTACCGCATTGGTACCCATTTGAAAAAAGCTGAAAACATGCAACATTCCACATTTCTGACATTCAATTTTTTTTCCTGACCATGGATTCTAAAAATTTAGCCAATACTGTACAACTTTTATATTTTCACCTTTCATCTACCGCACCCATTTATTCATCAATATGTTGTTTAATTACGATACTAACCTGACTTACTCGAATGTGAGTTATTCTAATTAGTTTAAAAATAACATGTTTCAGGTGAACCTGTTATTTGAACAATTCAACAGTATATTGGTGAGTAGATGGCTGCGGAACTCGCTGCGCTCGTCCCGCAGAGGTCCACCTATAAGTTCTGCAACAATTTACTTATTTGTACTTGAATAATAGCTTATTATATTAAGTCAGAGTTTGTAAGATTATTCACTTTTTGTCAATTCGCCTTTCAACAAGAATTAGTAATGTTATACTTTACCAAACTAGTAATATGATGTGACAAGTTATTCAAGTACAAACGAGTGGATTGTTGCGGAACTTATGGGTGGACCTCTGCGGGACGAGCGCAGCGAGTTCCGCAGCCATCTACTCATTACTCTTACATTTCAATTTCAATTTTTTTCTGTTTTGATTATATTGTTGTGTGATCTGTTTTGCTATTGCTGCTGCCGCCTGATGTGGAGAATGGTTTAGGGCTGGTTTGCCTTTCTTCAGGAAAGGTTTTACCTTCTCTGAAGAACATCCAGAATTTGATTAAAATTATGATGATTGATTTGCCGTGCGCACTGCTCCGGGGTGAAGTTATCTTAAGTTTTCCCTTATACGAGTTGCACCAACTTCTGTTTGAGTGATTTTTCTTGTCCGTTGGGGGAAATCAATTGGACAGGTCTTATTGACACAGGCTTGGTAGCAGAAGTTAGAGTTGGGTGGTTCTTGGGAATAACGGTGCTTTCAATGGAAAGGGCCATTTTTGGGATAATTGCATTCCTAGGTGTGTTCGTCCGCACGTATATAGCGGCTCATCCCCGTTGTATGCAAGGGATGAAAGTCTCTCATACTTCTAGGAAGCTTCGCCCAGAACTTTATTTAAATTGGCGTTTCAATCTTTTCACTGTATGGGTCTTTCTTATACAGTTTTTTCTATGATGTTCGTTCTCACTTTTCCTTCAGTTTTAAGAATTAATATAAAGAGAGCAGCGAGTTCCGCAGCCATCTATTCATCAATATGTTGTTCAATTACGATATTAACCTGACTCACTCAAATGTGAGTTATTCTCATTCATTAGTTTAAAAACTACATGTTTCAGGTGAATGTCTTACTTGAACAGTTCAGCAGTATATTGATAGGTAGATGGCTGCGGAACTCGCTGCGCTCGTCCCGCAGAGGTCCACCCATAAGTTCCGCAACAATCTACTTATTAATACTTGAAAAATAAGTGGATTGTTGCGGAACTTATGGGTGGACCCAGCTATCTATTCACCAATATGTTGTTCAAATACAATAATAACCTCTTCATTCAGTTATACATTTTTTTCATCAGTTCAAAAACTACACGTTTTAGGTGAGTGTTTTTTTTTTGAACAGTTCAACAGTATATTGGTGAGTAGATGGCAGAGGTCCACCTATAAATTCCGCAATAATCCACTTATTAGTACAGAGTGTTTTTTATATATTGACACCCCACCTACTTCCTTTACTTTTACAAGTAGAAAAAAGGTGTAAATACAAAAGTTTTACAGTTTTGGCTGAATTTTTAGAAACCATGGTCGGAAACAAAATTTGAATGTCAGAAATGTGAAATTTTGCATGCTATCAGCTTTTTTCAAATGGAATACCCTATGTTTCATTCTATATTTTTGGAGAGCACAATGCCCCGATTCCAAAAATATATAGTTTGTCTATATTTGATAGAACAGTCTCTCATATATTGGGCTTCAAAAATTGTAAACATACTATCCTACTACTGATTTTGTGAACCATTCTATCTGTACACGTGAAACCTGCAGGTAAAATTTGAGGTAGGTACTTGGTTTCTCTGATAGTATTTTTAAAATTTTAAGAAACAAATATGTTGGAGCCGGCTTAACCAAATATAGACAAACTATATAGTTTTGGAATCGGGAAATTGAACTCTTTAAAAATATAGAACGAAATATAGATAGTGCATATTTAATAGGAATATCTCATGTTCCTCAATCTTAATAAAATATTTCTCATAAGTAGTATAGGTGTTTGATTTTCTAATGCAAGTTTTCATAGTCTAATACACAGTCTAATGATTTAATGATGACCTGGCAACATTGAACACATCAGTCTGCTACTAGAATCGAACATGGTAGCATAAGGCCTCGATGAAAACACTGTATCAACATTTTTTTTTAATCAAAAAGTATTACCTATATAATAAATCAATTTTTAGGACACTCAGATAGGTATAATAAGGGAATTCTCATTTTCCTCCACCTTGCAATGCATGTCTGTGATTTGTAAAGATTTGGTGTCTCCCAATATGTTTGCATATACAAAAGGTGCCCCTGAAAAACTATTTGCCCTATGCATACCCGATACACTGCCAAAAGATTTCCAAACAAGACTGAGCTTCTACACTGCCCGCGGCTATAGAGTAATAGCTCTAGCCCACAAAAACTTACCCACTAAATTCAAGTGGAAGGATGCTCAAAAAGCCAAAAGAGACAAAATCGAATGCAACTTGCACTTTCTCGGTTTACTAATACTACAAAACCCCCTCAAAGACGAAACTGTGCCTGTAATAACACAATTACACCAGGCCAACATAAGAACTGTAATGATTACAGGCGACAATATCATGACAGCGATTTCAGTAGCCAGAGATTGCGGCATGGTCGACGCCTACGCCGACATTTACATTTTAGAAGTAACCGAATCTGAAGATGAAGCTCCCGAGCTTCTGGTGAAAAAAGCTGGAAGCGGGGCCCAACCTGATATTGCTGTGATCGAAATTTACAACCAACATTGCCATATTGCCATGGATGGTAAGACTTGGGGCAAATTGCGCACTTATTATGAGCATTTAATACCGAATTTGCTGGTCAGGGGGACGATTTTTGCCCGGTTCCAGCCTGACCAAAAAACCCAGCTTGTTGTTGCCTTGCAAGAGCTGGATTATGTTGTTTCTATGGTTGGAGATGGTGCTAATGATTGTGGGGTAAGAATTTTGTTGGTGGGAATTATTTGTTGTCACAATATTATAGAAATTCTTGTAGTGACAAAACCCCTTTTTTAGGCCTTGAAAGCAGCTCATGTCGGGGTATCTTTATCACCAGCAGAAGCTAGCGTTGCAGCTCCATTCACCTCAGGAATACCAAACATTTCCTGTTTGATTTGGTTGATTTTGGAGGGCAGGTGCGCCCTAGTCACAAGCTTTGCCATTTTCAAATACATGGCCCTTTACAGTCTAATACAATTCACCACTATTCTAATCCTTTATACGGTACTTTAATAGTTAATTCAACTTCAATTATTAATTGTTTATTTTTTAGTGTCACTCTATTTTAGGAGATTTTCAGTTTTTGTTTATAGATCTTATTATTACTACTACTTTGGCTGTGACAATGGGTAGGCAAGGACCATCGAAAATCTTGGGTGCCAAACGTCCCATGTCCTCTTTGGTGTCCCCCAAAAATCTGGTGCCTTTAATTCTACAAATCGTCGCGTGTGCCTTTTTCCAGTTGGCGGCACTATACTATTTGTACCAGCAAAAGTGGTTTGAACCAATACCCGATCAAGGTCAAGACGAAATAGTGGTTTCCTGGGAAAATACAGTATTATTTACGGTTTCTTGTTATCAGTACGTTATTTTGGCTTGGCAATTTTCCAAAGGGAAACCGTTTAGGAAATCTGTTTTAACGAATTTTTGGTTTATTTTAAACGTGGTCTCTCTTACTGCATTTGTAACGTGGATGATGCTCAGTCCTTGTAAGAAAATAGCTGAAATTATGGAACTAATGCCTTATAAGGATTTGGAGCAAAGAAGTTTTAGATATTTGTTAGTTTTATTTCCTGTTGCGCACTTTTTAGCTTCAGGATTTATTGAGGTGATTTATTAAGGCCCCCACATACGCACAGCTTTTAGCACAGTTCTTCGGCCGGAAATATCCACAGACGTGCCAATATGTCGGGTTTGCACAGTGGGCCTGTGCAAAATAACTGAGCGTCTGTGAGGGCCTTTAGATTTTGTAGTTTGTTGTATTAATTTTATTTATTTTTAGATGTTTATGTCTGATCGAGTATGGCTGAAAAAGTTGTTCCAGTGTGTTAGTTGCAAAACACGGCCTAAAAATAAGTACAAACGTCTATTACGAGATAATGAGTTTGTCAACTATTTTAATTCGTTGCAAATATCTCGGTGACATCTTTATGCAATTATTATTATTATAATATAAAAGTATGACCAAAAACATTATAATTATTGTTTTATTTATTTTTATTCGTACATCAAAATATATATAAACATTTAATATATTTTATTATTCTATCTAAAAATCTCTATTAGTGGAAGTAAAAACAGTTTGAATCTGGCAACCAATGCTCCTTCGGGTTCAGACAGTATATGGGTAGACGAGTCCAAAAAGCCCGAGACACAATTTTTGTTTGGCCTATAGTGGCGTTGATGACGTAATCAATATTGTCCCCGGATAAAATAATATAACATTAAATTCTCTATAAATCAGTGCAAAATTATTCAGTTTGATAGCTCAAATAGTTTTTGAGCAATTGAGCCTCAAAGTTGACTTTTGACTACCACTCACAAAAAAACGTGTAGTGATTTCCAGTTTCTGGGAATACTTCTCCAACTTCTGTCACTTGTTATTATGATACACTTTATAAACGTAACAGATTTCAATTTTTCCCTCAAAAACTAATCCTACCATCCAGGATATAAATGAGACACACTTGTAACGAATTTTTATGCAATTAGGCAAAAACTGGCATATGGCTTAGTTACCTCATTGTTCTAGTTGACCTTACTTGGAAATACTTAGGAATACGTGGGGGAATACTTTGAAACTTTTGAAACGTCAGAACTGTCAGCATTACATACCATGTGGTTGTAAATAAAAATACGCACAGAGGCAACTGTATTATATGTGTGGCCAACTGGAACATATGTTCCACCTAAAATTTTATAATTCTCGTTTGTTCTTAGTAGAGAAAATATGCAAGATACACCAATTAAAGATGTCCAAAACGCTTTAACAATATACGGTGCTGCCGTTTTCTATGATATTCCATAATTCACAGTAAGACTCTTTGTATTTGGAACAAGAGGGAGAGGTATATTGTCGGTAGCAGGATAAGGTTATGGAGAAATATATGAATGAAGTAGAAGAAGAACTGTCACGGCGACCTTCTTGTATAACCGTTACAATATTCGACGTATACATTATACTTTGTCAAAAAATTTATTGAAATTATGGGCTCAAAAATTCAGACAAAGTGGTCCAATGGCAAATCCGAAGCAAACAGAAGTCCATCAGAACGCCAGAGAACATTGGGATTGTGCGACGTGCTGTGACTAAAAATCCGAGGTGCTCAATTCGAAAACATGGCAGGACGCTTCTGATTTGCCACTTTGAATCTTTCAACCCACGATTTCAATACATTTCTTGACGTAGCGTCACGTATACGCCATATATGGTTACGGTTACAGAAACGTCATAAGAATCGTTCGATTTAAAAAACGCCTCGACCATAAACGCGCGTTGCTCGTTCGACCACTGCTCCCATGTTTACTGGAGCACACAGTCGCCGCATATTGCTTCCTCACAAATATTAAGTTGGATGTACAGAGCGCGTTCGGGAAGAGAAATTTACTCTGATTCACCCTGTACGTTACAATATGTTCCAGTCGCCTCAAAATGATTACTATGTGAATGCCTAAGAAAATAGGGGTTACTGTTTCAGTTGCCTCAAAATTAGGATAACTGGAACAGTTGACCGGAACAAAGTGAGCACCACGTTATGGGTGAAGTGTTCTACGGTTATTTCAGCGAGTACAAAAGCACTTCTTGCAGTCACATCGTGTGACAACTTTAATGGAGAAGAATGGGGGCTTACGACCGTTTCCTGGAAAAGAACATCTCACAAACGCAGCTGATGGTTTTGTCTCCATGATCAATCTATCCAATCAAGAACTCTTGAACTGGGCAAAACAGATATTTTAAAAATGTCTATATACCTGTGGTTTATAGACCATACCGTCTTTCCCACAATGATCGAAAAGTTGTGAGACAAACAGGAAAGATTTATTGCATAGTAATTCGTGAATCAGATTCTCCCTACTCCAGTCCTATATTGTTAGTGAAGCAAAAAAATAACGAGCAGTAGTGTAAGAGAGCTTTTATTTCGCCAGACGGTGAGTACCTGAGTATCCCATTTGGCTTATGTAATGCGCCTGCAATATTTCAGCGAACTATAAATACAGTTTTAGGCAATTTGAGGTATGGAAAGGCGATTGCATACATGGATGATATTTTTACAGGATTGTTAAATCTAAGGAGTATAAGCTGCTCATGCAGAACGAACATGCACGCAATTTTTGAGATTTTAATGAAAATGCCCAAAAATGCGTTAAAAGGTTGGAAGTTATAGAAATTCACAAATACTTCCATGTATTTCCAAATTATTTTTATGTAGTTGCAGAGTATTCCCATATACTTTCATAGTATTTCCAAATATTCCCAGATTATTACCAAGTATTCCTAGATATTCCTTAAGTATTCCCAGCAAAGTGTACAATGATTTCCATGAGTAATTTACCCCTCAGAAAAAGATAGAACTGTGTCGTTCTGGGCTTGAGTGAGTGTTCCATATAATCAAGTGCAAGAAATAACACCCACAGTTGCGTATGTATTGTGTAAAAGTCTATATGGTTATGTTACTTTACCAAATGTGACAAGTTATTCAAGTACAAATGAGTGAATTGTTGCGGAACTTATGGGTGGACCTCTGCGGGACGAGCGCAGCGAGTTCCGCAGCCATCTATTCATCAATATGTTGTTTTATCACGATACTAACCTGACTCACTCAAATGTGAGTTATTCTTATCAGTTCAAAAACTATATGTTTCAGGTGAATGTCTTATTTGAATAGTTCAACAGTATATTGGCGAGTAGATGGCTGCGGAACTCGCTGCGCTCGTCCCGCAGAGGTCCACCCATAAGAGCCGCAACAATCCACTTATTTGTACTTGAGTAGTAACTTATTATAGAAAGTCAAAATTTGTACGATTATGATTATTCACTTTTTGTCAATTTGCCTTTCAACAGGAATTAGTAATGTTACTTTACTAAACTAGTAACATAATGTGACAAGTTATTCAAGTACAAATGAGTAAATTGTTTCGAAACTTATGGGTGGACCGCTGCGGGACGAGCGCAGCGAGTTCCGCAGCCATCTATTCATCAATATGTTGTTTCATCACGATACTATCCTGACTCACTCAAATGTGAGTTATTCTCATTAGTTTAAAAACTATATGTTTCAGGTGAATGTCTTATTTGAATAGTTCAACAGTATATTGGTGAGTAGATGGCTGCGGAACTCGCTGCGCTCGTCCCGCAGAGGTCACCCATAAGTTCCGCAATGATCCACTTATTTGTACAGGGTGTCTTTTTATGTATTGACACCCCACCTACAGCCTTTACCTGTACAGGTGGAAGAAAGGTGTAAATACAAAAGTTGTATAGTTTTGGCTGAATTTTTAGAAACCATGGTCAGAAACAAGATTTGAATGTCAGAAATGTGAAATTTTGCATGTTTCTAGCTTTTTTCAAATGGGATGCCCTATATTTCATTTTATATTCTTGAAGAGCAAAATGACCCAATTTATATTTGATTGGGCAATCTCTCAATATATTCGGCTCCAAAAACTGTAAAAATACTATCCTACTGCTGATTTTGTGAACCATTCTACCTGTACAGGTGAAAGCTGCAGGTAAAATTTGAGGTACTTGGTTTCTCTGATAGTATTTTTAAAATTTTTAGAACCAAATATGTTGGAGACGGCTCAACCAAATATAGACAAACCATATAGTTTTGGAATCGGGAAATTGTGCTCTTCAAGAATATAGAACCAAATATAGCGCATCCCATCCCATTTGAAAAAAGCTGAAAGCATGCAACATTTCACATTTCTGACATTCAATTTTTGTTTCTGACCATGGTTTCTAAAAATTCAGCCAATACTGTACAACTTTTGTATTTAAACCTTTCATCTACCTGTAGAGGTAAAGGCTGTAGGTGGGGTGTCAATATATAAAAAAAAACACCCTGTACTTGAACACATAGGCGCCGGAATCATGGGGGCAATGGGAGCTTGAGCCCCCGTAAAAAATTTGCTATGGGGGCGGAGCCCCCATATTGATTTTGGCATTGTATGTAGTGGCTATGGTAAGTAGGTACAAAAATATTAATTTCCTGATCCTAACATTCCTAACTATTTATTTTTATACCAAACTTGTGTGTTTTATGTTTTTGTTGTTTTTGCTATAACCACTTTGACAAACAGTTTGACAGATACCCATTACCCAATATAACGGATCTCTTGAAGAAGCTGGGACGTTACCAGTATTTCACTGCCTTAGACTTAGCTAACAGCTTCCACCAGATCTATACAACGACATCGAAAAAACCGCATTTAGCGCAGACAACGGGCATTATAAGTTCTTGCGCATGCCCTTTGGTTTGATCAACGCGCCGGCTACATTTCAAAGAGTTATGGATGATATTCTATATCCCAATATATTGAGCAACTTTAACACCAATCAATAATAGTTATTCATTATACAAGGGAAAAAAGTATTAGATTTTAGAGCGAGATGTGGTCTGCCTCCCGTCACGAAGCGGAGAGAGACAACAACAAGGTGGCATAAAATATATATAAAACACCCTGTACCTAAATGATGATGTGTAATATTCTGTTGGAAAGTGCGTTTTCTCCTGATTATTATTCCCTAATGAGTTAATATCAAAATACAAACTTGAGTTATATAGGGAAATGTAGAATCTTGTTCCAGAAATTAAGCGGTAATAAAGCAAAAAAATTTGTACCCATGTCCCATGTACTATTTGAACCCAAAGGGGCTCATTGGTGAAATATTCTGGCATAATTTTCAGCTACCTCACCCCACTATATTGTCTAGAAGCACTTTTTTTAAATCTTTGAACGTATAGATTGTTAACTTTGATATGGGGAGTACAATAATTGCTCGAATTTTAATTTGAACATAGAAAATAATTACATTTTGAAGAATTTCTAACTAAGAGAAAGTGGAATTGAGCATTGAGAAAGTATGACCCTGATGTAAAATTGCCCTTCTATAAGTATACACAATTTAAAAATAATACTCTTGCGAATTGTGAATCAGGCCCAATTCGTACAAGTTCAAAATCGAATTCGCAATAATCCTGGCTGTTTTCTTTTGGTAACCGCCACTAGTAAGCATCACTATTGGAATTTTCCTGGAAATGGCTTGCTGGAATACGAACTCGTCTCTTACTATGATGCCCTGAAATATTTATAAATTATTGGAGAAAGTTTTTCTGATTTTGCTTACCTGTTCAGTTAATGATAGTCCGCCTAATCGATCACCAACCAAAACATCTGTTCCGGCATTATACACTAATAAATCTGGAGAAAATTCCTTCAAAGCATCAATGAAATTTCTACAAAAGAATCAAATCAAGGGATTCAATGGCTAAAAATTACCTATACTTTTTAACAATGCTCAAATAATTTTCGTCATCAGTGTAAAAATCAATTGGGACGTTTTTCCTAATGGCCTCTTTGGCACTGGCATCTTTCGGATAAATCCACTTATTGTAAACGTCCATTATATAAACGCTGTCATTGTCTTTGAAGTCAGTTTCATAACCGTTGCCTTGATGGGCGTCCAAATCTACTATCATGACTTTTTGAACCTAAGAAATTTTGATTATTTTGGACTTTGACACTATATTCACAATCCGTAGTTCTAAAGTAAATTCGAGTTCTGTCTCATCTTGGCGCCCAACGTGGGGCCCAAAAGGTAAAGGTAAATTTATCACCTTTCCCTATAAAATAGCTCTGGAAGGTGATGAATTTTACCTTCACCTTTGAACATCAGATTGTGGATAGATAATAATTACCTGTTTTGGAAAATGATAAAACAAAAAATGTATCAGTAAACTGATGTCGGCATAAACACAAAATCCTCCACCTTTGGAGGCCGAGCAATGATGAAAACCTCCTCCTATATTGATGGACCAACCTCTATCCAGAGCTAATTTGCCTGCCAAAACCGATCCACCAGTTTGGAACCTCATTGGTCTTAAATAGGCTTTTTGTATGAAACAATTTGGCACTAGAATTAACGGGGCCACTTCAGCAATTCTGGCCACTTTGAAACTACACTAAAATAAAATTAATTGAACAATAAATTGATTAAATGAACAACTCACTTGTAGGCTTTTTAAGTATTTTTTCTTGTGCACCATTAAAAGATGTTCTTTTTTGGCCTCGTTAGGTACCACAACAGTTTTCTTAGATATCATACCGCTATCACTTAGAAACTGGAACAGATTTTAATATTTTTTAAAAATAATCATGCCCCAATTCAATTACCTTGAAAATGTTGCCCCATTTCCTCGTATCGAACGGGTGCAGCTTTTCCAGGCCGCAAAATTTCACATTGTACTCCTTCCTGTAAACTATCGGCAATTGTTCTTTGGATATATTTAAATAAAGCGTGTGCATTTTGAGTCACTTAAATTTTCACTGTAACGATCGAGGCGGTAACGCATCTTGCCGTGTTATGACGCGGGAAATTGTCAATCGGTGAAAATTGTGTGCATGGCGTTTTCTCTTTAGTGCGCATGCCACCAAGGAAAATTAGCAGGAGTAAATAAAACAGGTGGCACAATTAAAATAAATATAATTACAATGTTACATTATATACTAGTTATTTCTTCTTTTTTGGAGTCAAAATCTGTGTGTAAGAACTACAATTAGTGGGACATAATTATTATGTATTATTTTTACCTGGAATGAACACAAAAGATCCTCATTGATGGACATTAAGGCACCGGCATTGTCGAAAGTACCGCAGTAATTCGGAGCGGAAAATATCGTTATCAGTTTTCTTTGAGCGAAAAACTCGTAACCGTCTTCTACAACCTGAAACTTGAACACTGAGTTTGTTAAGTCTACACAAAGTTGGTTGATTAGTACCTGATGGCCTCTACAAATCAAATCAAAATCGTGTTTTTGCAAAAATTTGTTGACCACGTCAGGACCAAAGGCAAACGAGACTCCTCTGTCGTTCTCTGTCCATCCCATGTCTGGACTCGGATCTGACCATAATAAATCACAAAGTAATCCTGAAACAAATGGTTTCTTGTAAAGATTACATAAGTATGTACAAATAAGTGGATTATTGCGGAACTTATGGGTGGACCTCTGCGGGACGAGCGTAGCGAGTTCCGCAGCCATCTACTCACCAATATACTGTTGAATTGTTCAAATCACTCACTTGAAACGTGGAGTTTTTGAACTAATGAGAAAAATTCACAACTGAGTGAATCAGGTTAGTATTGTACTTGAACAACATATTGGTGCATAGATGGCTGCGGAACTCGCTGCGCTCGTCCCGCAGAGGTCCACCCATAAGTTCCGCAACAATACGCTCATTTGTACCTGAATAACTTGTCACATTATGTTACTAGTTTGATAAAGTAATATTACCAATTCTTGTTGAAAGGCAAATTGACAAAAAGTGGATAATCTTACAAATTCCGACTTTATATAATAAGTTATCGTTCAAGTACAAATAAATGGATTGCTGCGAAACTTATAGGTGGACCTCTGCGGGACGAGCGCAGCGAGTTCCGCAGCCATCCACGCACCAATATACTGTTGAAACTGTTCAAAATAAGACACTCACCTGAAACGTGGAGTTTTTGATCTAATGAAAAAAATTCACAACTGAGTAAATCAGGTTAGTATTGTACTTGAACCACATATTGGTGAATAGATGGCTGCGGAACTCGCTGCGGTCGTCCCGCAGAGGTCCACCCATAAGTTCCGCAACAATTCACTCATTTGTACTTGAATAACTTATCACATTATGCCAAGTACTCACCAATATAATGTTGAACTGTTCAAATAAGACACTTACCTGAAACGTCTAGTTTTTGAACTAATGAGAAAAATGCACAACTGAGTGAATCAGGTTAGTATTGTACTTGAACAACATATTGGTGAATAGATGGCTGCGGAACTCGCTGCGCTCGTCCCGCAGAGGTCCACCCATAAGTTCCGCAACAATACACTCATTTGTACCTTAATAACTTTTCACATTATGTTACTAGCTTAGTAAAGTAAGTAACATTACTAATAAATAAAGGCAAATTGACAAACAGTGAATAATCTTACAAATTTTAACTTTAAACAGGATGGCCCAGAATATGGGGGCAATCTCCCGATTTCAGATAGAACACAAAAAAATAACATGACAACTTCCCATAAAAAAAAAATCCTACGCCCCCCCCCCCCCCCCCCCCCCTACGAAGTTACGTGGCCTTGAAGGACGCCTCTGGAAATCGTTTTTTTCTTGATAACTTCTTATCTAGTATTCATCATATTAAAAGAAAAAAAAATACACGAAGTATTTTGAAAGTTATCAACAAAAAACCGATTTTCAGGGGGCCACGTAACTTCGTAGGGGGGGACGTAGGAATTTTTTTTTATAGAAAGTTGTCATGTTATTTTTTTGTGTTCTATCTTTGAGAGATTGCCCACGTATTCTGGGAAACCCTGTATAATAAGTTATTGTTCAAGTATACCTTCTATTGGAACATCGCATGGTCTTTGTATACTCCTAATTTGCCCTATATGCAACAGATCAGGACTCAAGCCACCGTGACAGCAAAATATTTTGTCATCGATTATGGCTGCTACCGGTAGCACATTGAAAACATCTGTGAATATTTTGAACAACTTGGTACTGTATCTTCTTTTGCCTACAAGAAAATATCCATGAATAATTGCAACACATATAAGAACCATTCTAGAACGGCAATTTCCAGTCTTATCTAACTTAGGCTGTGAAAGTAATCAAATTATTTTGGACTTTGGTTTCCTGAAATCTGGTCAACCAAATATCAAAATAGTAAGCGGCTATCTGATGTCCGTTTTATCTGTCATTTTTATTTCATATTCTCGTTTCCTAAGTAACCGGAACCATCTGTCAACCGATTCAGTTATTTTGAATCATGGTCTTCCACTAGAAATTACTGGTTCTGGAACGGTTCTCATATGTCTGTTGGAACAGATTCTACATACATTCGTCAAAGAATCCGTAAATCTTGCACACTTGCGCCGACTCGTGGTTGCCTCTGAGCAAAAAAAAGTTTTCCGGGTACTTGATTTTGTAGGCCAACAGCAGGCACATTGTTTCCAGGCTTTGCTTGCCCCGATCCACGTAGTCGCCCAAAAATAGGTAGTTGGCGTCCGGCGGAAAGCCTCCGAATTGGAAAAGTTTAAGGAGGTCGCCGAATTGACCGTGTATGTCACCTAGAATTGAGGTCGATTTACATGTGTTTAGTAGCTGGTGTGTCAATGAGATTGGCTTGTGTAAATCAGCCTTTAGTTTCAGTTATAGTTCGAAACATAATGTTTCATGGTTCACTTTTCGTGTCGAAATTATATTAATATTGTGTAAACCCTTTATTGGATATAGTTTACGTAGTGTCAAGTAAATTAGGTATATGTCTGATATTAATTTCTATTTTACTGGAACATTTATTTCAGCTGTATTTAAACGTAATAGAACCGAAATCTGTCTTGGAATTCTTTCTGTTCCCAATTCGCCATTGAACCACCACCCCTTAAATTCGAGTTCTGTCACATCTTGGCGCCCAACGTGGGGCCCAAAAGGTGAAGGTAAATTTATCACCCCTCACTGAAAGGTGATAAATTTTACCTTTACCTTTGGACATCGGATTGTGAAAAGATAATTCTTCGATTGTTACTTACCTGCTACTTTGATTGGAGCTTCCAGTTCCAGAAGCATCGGTTGCGAGTGGAATATTTGTATGGCCTTTTGGCACAATGCTTTTATGTCTGATTCTGGCAGGTTGATCATTTTCGTCTTTTTCCCATTGTGGACTGGAAAGTTCAATTGGGGATTATTTTAATTTTGTTTTGAATTTTTAATGCTGGCACTGGCAACTCTGATAGCCAGAAGTCTCTCATTATGAACCTATTTTGACAGATAACTAAAAGTTAACTTCTGAAATTGCTATTCGAAGTAACGTCATTCCAAGAAATTGGCACACGATGCACGGAACCATCTGGAAACATCGGCATTCTTCAATTCAGCCTTTTTGTTCATTGAAGTCTATTTTACTGGAAATAAGTACGTAGGTATCTACTTTTACTTGCCTATATTTTACCGAGGGGTGACCGCTGAGCAAAATCTGTACACCAGATATTTCCCTACTGAAGTACATCCCCAGACAACCTTAAGACATCCCTGGATATACCAAAACATCCCTTCTTCCTGTACATATCTCTGATATATTTTTAAGGACTATTGGCCTTTTGAGCAAAAAATTCAGTTAAAACCGTACAACTTTTGTATTTACATCTTTCTTCTATCTGTATAGGTAGAGGCTGTAGGTGGGGTGTCAATATATAAAAAACACCCTGTACAAATAAGTGGATTATTGCGGAACTTATGGGTGGACCTCTGCGGGACGAGCGCAGCGAGTTCCGCAGCCATCTATTCATCAATATATTGTTTAATTACGATACTAGCCTGACTCACTCAAATATGAGTTTTTCTCATTAATTTAAAAACTACATGTTTCAGGTAAATTTCTTACTTGAACAGTTCAATAGTATATTGGTGAGTAGATGGCTGTTCACCCATAAGTTCCGCAATAATTCACTCGTTTGTACTTGAATAACTTATCACATTATGTTACTAGTTTGGTAAAGTAACATTACTAATTCCTGTTGAAAGGCAAATTGACAAAAAGTAAAATCTTACAAACTTTGACTTTATATAATAAGTTATTGTCCAAGTACAAATAGGTGATTTATTGCGAAACTTATGGGTGGACCTCTACGGGACGATCGCAGCGAGTTCCGCAGCCATCTACTCACCAATATACTGTTGAACTGTTCAAGTAAGGCATTTACCTGAAACATGTAGTTTTTAAACTAATGAGAATAACTCACATTTGAGTGAGTCAGGTTAGTATCATACTTGAATAACAAACATATCGGTGAATAGATGGCTGGGTCCACCTATAAGTTCCGCAACAATCAACTCGTTTGTACTTGAATAACTTGTTACAATATATTACTAGTTTCGTAAAGTAACATTACTAATTCCTGTTGAAAGACAAATTGACAAAAAGTGGATAATCTTACAAATTCTGACTTTATATAATAAGTTATTGTTCAAGTACAAATAAGTGGATTATTACAGAACTTATGGGTGGACCTCTGCGGGACGAGCGTAGCGAGTTCCGCAGCCATCTACTCACCAATATACCATTAAACTGTTTAAGTAAGGCAACTCACATTTGAGTGAGTCAGATTAGTATCGTAATTAAACAACATATTGATGAATATATGGCTGCGGAACTCGCTGCGCTCGTCCCGAGAGGTCTATCCATAAGTTCCGCAACAATTCACTCATTTGTACTTGAATAACTTGTCACATTAAGTTACTAGTTTGGTAAAGTAACATTAGTAATTCCTGTTAAAAGGCAAATTGAAAAAAAGTGGATAATCTTACAAAGAAAGAAGGGTACACCTTGCAGCTGATGTTACTTTAATTAAAGAACGAACCTGTTCCTTAGAAAATTCCACGATTTTTTCATTAGACATTCCCAAATTGTTTGGAACATTCTCAAAAATCCCTTTGACATCCCCGAAAATCCTAAAATTCCCCGAAATGCTGAGACATCCCCGGAAATCCTGGGATATCCCAAAACATCCCCAAGCTTGTATACCAACGGTTCACCCCTTTTATTTTATAAAGGGCTGGTTTATTCAGCTTCTGATAAGCTGTCAAATCAATCTGACATTCTCATTGTCAGTTATCTGTCGACCAATAGGATTATAGATCAATAAAATCTTGCAGATAGTTACCAGCAAGTTTATCGAAAGATGAATGAACCAGGCCTTAAATTAGTTCTAAAATTGTATCAAAATGTACAAATATTTGGTTAATGCACTAGTCATCTGTAAACACAGAATATCAATAATTATCATTAATTTAAAAGCTCAGAAATAGAATTATTGATCTACTTTGATACTAAGGGCAATCTGACTGATAAAAACGCAATCTGTAATCCTACATTAATCGGCCAGTTATCCGTCAAACAATAGGATTATAGATAGGTAAATTTATCTAGCCGATAGTTATATAAAGATGAGTAAACCAGGCCTTAAAGATTAGGTACCTATACAAAGCTTAAAAATCTCAATAATTAAACTCACTATACCTTCTGGTCCAGTCAATTTCTTAATAACACTATCAACATTGAGCGTATTTTGAGGCATATTGCACTACATGTAGAAATAATTCGTAACTGATAAAAAACGATTCAAGTTAAGGAATCAGGCATACAATACAAAAGATTAGATAAAAATTTTTGTTTTTATTGATAACAATAATTTAAAATTTATCTAGATGTTTTGTTGAATTGCTGGAAATAGTCTTCGGTCGGCCTGTTGGTGTAGACGATTTTGTCGAAGTAGTTTTTGCGGCTGCGATGTTCCTCGGCCATTTTCAGGTTTTCTTGGGCGATTTTTTTACGAATGTCCCTAAAACTTCAATTAATCTTATCTTGATATCGATTAATTCATCATACCTTTGTTTCCTTTCCAATTCCTGATCCATTAAGTATATGGATTTTTGGGTGCCATTAATGTAATCGTCGAATTCCCTTTGCATCCGCACATCTGATTCTCGCTTTTTCTATAAAAATACATTGTAATTTTAAAGCAAACCTGGTCCTAGGACACATGAGGCAAAGCTAGAGCAGGGAAAACACTGTAAAGGCTATAAGTCTCAAATGTGTCTGTCAGATTGAGAAAATCATAACTCTCTTATTTTGGATTTTTGTGTTATAAAATTTTGTTGGGTTAAAGTTGAAAGGTTCCTAAACACATAAAAAAATTATTGGTTCCATCAAGTTGATCAATTTTCCAGGGAGAACACTGTAAATGGAGATGAAGGTCATAAGTCTTGCATGTTTCTTTTAGATTCAAAAAATCATTACTCTCTTATCTTGGACTTTTGTATTTTAAAATTTTGTTGGGTTAGAGTTGAAAGGTTCCTGAACACATAAAAAAATATTTGGTTCCATGAAGTTGATCAACTTTCCAGGAAAGTCACTGTGAATGGAGATGAAGGCCATAAGTCTTAAATGAAGCTTTCAGATTGAAAAAATCATAACTCTCTTATTTTGGATTTTTGTGTTATAAAATTTTGTTGGGTTAGAGTTGAAAGGTTCCTAAACACATAAAAAAATATTTGGTTCCATGAAGTTGATCAACTTTCCAGGAAAGTCACTGTGAATGGAGATGAAGGCCGTAGGCCTCAAGTGTGTCTTTCAGATTGAAAAAATCATAACTCTCTTATTTTGGATTTTTGTGTTATAAAATTTTGTTGGGTTAGAGCTGAAAGGTTCCTGAACACATAAAAAAATATTTGGTTCCATGAAGTTGATCAACTTTCCAGGGAAAACACTGTGAATGGAGATGGAGGCTGTAAGTCTTAAATGTAGCTTTTAGATTGGAAAAATCATGACTCTCTTATTTTGGATTTTTGTGTTGTGAAGTTTTGTTGGGTCAGAGTTGAAAGGTTCCTAAACACATAAAAAAATATTTGGTTCCATGAAGTTGATCAACTTTCCAGGAAAGTCACTGTGAATGGAGATGGAGGCCGTAGGCCTCAAGTGTGTCTTTCAGATTGAAAAAATCATAACTCTCTTATTTTGGATTTTTATGTTATGAAATTTTGTTGGGTTAGAGTTGAAAGGTTCCTAAACACATAAAAAAATATTTGGTTCCATGAAGTTGATCAACTTTCCAGGGAAAAGACTGTATATGGAGATGAAGGCTATAAGTCCTTAATGTGTCTTTCAGATTGAAAAAATCGTAACTTTCTTATTTTGGATTTTTGTGTTATGGAATTTTGTTAGGTTAGAGTTGAAAGGTTCCTAAATACATGGTTCCATGGACTTGATCAACTTTCCAGGGTCCCTATTCTTGAAACAGGGGAGCAACGTTCCCAAGAGAACGAGTCTTTCGACTCTTTCGTCTTTCTCAATGATGTCCAAATGACGTTATAAGTAACAAAGACGGAACACTCATTTTCCTGGGAACGCTGCTCCTCTGTTTCAAGAATAAGGACCCAGAAGAAATGGGCCAACTGACACCCAGAAAAATAGCTTTCATCGGTAGACAATTTAAGATGTAAAGTCACGCTGAGGCGAAAATACTTCCCCCCATAATCTACAAATCTACATTGATTATTCTTACTCGTGCTTCTTCAGCTTGTAGTCTTTGCTCATTCCTGATTTGACTCCTTTCCTCATCGCTCATGCCTTTGTACAAATAAGCGAGTATCTTACCCGGGCCCATATTACTTTGCGATACGTCCGGGTTTTCAGTCAGAAGATCACTAGTCAGGGTGTTGTAAATCTCCGCCGTATTATCGTTGGTCGTTTGATGGGTTTTTGACAAGTTGCTTTTGCACTTTTCCTCGGCCAGAGCCAAGTTGTACTGCGTATTGGCTTCTTCCAGTTTCCTTCTGCATTCTTTTTCGATTTTTTCCAATTCTATGCATCGTATGTCTCTTGCAATGACAGCAGCTTTATAAGCATCTTCGGCCATTTGTCTTTCTTCTTCGGCCTGTTGTTTTTCCATAAATTGTTGTTCGAGCCAGGATTTGGTTTGTTCTTTTTGGACTTTTAGTCTTCGTTCACTTACGAGGTCTTCGCCTTCAAATCTAAGAAAAAATATATTTATTTTTTAATTTTAGGTTGGCTTACTTTTGGGCTGAAGAAGGGCCCAATCTTGGATCGTCATCGTTCATCCTGCACGGAAGCTCTTTCTTTTTACCATCAGGATCGTTCAAGTCGAATTCCCTCCGGTCTTCAGGTTTTTGATAGTTTTTGCGGAAAGTGTTAATCTTTTGCTGGAATTTTTTTTGTTCCTCTTTTTGCTTGTGTTCTAGGGCTACAGCTAATTCGTCGGCCTTGCGCAGATGTTCTTCGAAAATTTGATCTGTGCGACGTTTTTCTTCTTCCAACCGTTTCTTTTCTTCGATTTGAGATTCGAGTGCATTTTTGTCAACCTAATAGGTTATTGTTTATAGGATTTTTAGCCAATTAGGAAAAGACTTACCCCAATTAATCTTGCCCTTGGATTGAGGATTCGTTTTTTTCGTTCTTCTTCTTGTATGCGCCGACGTTCGATGTAGGCGGCCTCACGTCGGTCTTTTTCGGTCATTAATTGAAACTTTAACATATTTTTTTATTTATTTATTTTTTAAACTGTAATGTAAATGTTTGAGGTAAAATTCAGGAATGTCACTCCGATAAACAAAGCAGGGTTGCTAGGATAATATCGATTGTTGCTGGTATATATGCCTATATTGATTTATTTTCCCCTTCAATAGGTCTGTTTCTGCAGAAATCACATTGGTTTATGCGTCAATCGTTCTTCGGTTGTCATTTTCACTAGGTGTCTCTCTCCGTCCTTCTACGTTATATTTTGTTTTCTCTCTCGTGTAACGAAATTTGCCAAAACGTGACGCGTCTTTCAGATCACTTTCCATTTACGTCCAAATATCAGACTGCCAACTAAGAAAGAATGGAAGAATCTTCGAGTACCTTTTGGTTTGGCAAACAGTCCAGCGGTTTTTCAGCGAGCAATTAACAAAATGCTTGGCAGCATGCGCGGAGAGCAAGTGCTAGTCTACATGGATGACCTTCTCATTCCATCTCGTATACGGTTCAGAAGGGTTTATTACTGCTTCAGGGAGTGCTAGATAAAATCAGGGAGGCTGATTCCCCCAAATTCCATACACTGAATTATTCTCAGATTTGAAGCCGAAATCTATGAAAAAAGGCACTCAGAAAAATTGAAACATTGATAAATCACCCCAAATTGCTTAACACGGTTTTATCTCAGAAACTATAAGTGCAAATGAGCTGAAATTTTCAGGGATTGTAGTCCTTTTCTTGGGATAAAATTCAGTGAAAATTTCAGCCTTCTATCTATAATAGAAAAAAAGTTATGACCTTTCAAAGTTTTCCAAAATCTAAATCAAACGAAATTTGGCAAAACGTGACGCGTCTTTCAGATCACTCTCCACTCATGTCCAAATATCAGACCGCCGCCTAAAAAGATTCATTTCAAAAAATCGAGTTTTCATAAGGGTACCCTTTTTGAATGGAAGAATCTTCGAGTACCTTTTGGTTTGGCAAACAGTCCAGCTATTTTTCAGCAGACCTTCTCATTCCATCTCGTACGGTTCAGAAAGGTTTATTATTGCTTCAGGGAGTGCTAGATAAAATCAGGAAGGCTGGCTTTGAATTACCTAACAAAGTGTTCTTCTTTTTTCAAGCAGAAGCTTGACTATTTAGGTCATGAGCTGACTGCACAAGGTACAAAATCCAAATAAATAAAACAAGTTTGTTAAAGCCAAAGTGTATAAGATATATTTCAAACTTAAGCAAAGTTAAAATTATTGCAATGGATACATGAGTAAAGGAACAGGACTACACCTATACATAGTTTATTTGATTTTGTTTTAAGCTGGCTTCACACGGCCCGTGATATCGCGAACTGCGCCGCGTCAGCATGCGATAACGCTCCGAAGCCAGCATATAGAGACGTCACAATTAAAATAAACACATTAATAAGCTCGATTTATGTAGATGCCTTATCGATTATTCTTAAATTCTAAATTCTATGGTTTTTTTTTTGAAAATTTAGAAACATCGCTTTAAATTGGTTTCAAGGAATATGAGTCAATGTACAAAAATCAAGAGGAAATTTTTACAAATACATATATACAAAAAATAAATAAAGCCCAGTATACATTTACAAAAAAGCTGCGTTCTATATATTATCACTTATTATTGCTTTTTTTTAAATGATTTTCAAAGCATTCTATAATATTTTCAGTCCTCGTTCAAACCGATATCTCTAAGTCCGGCGTTGATGTGCTCGACCAAAGGGGCATCTTCGGCGACATTCGGGTGCTTAAAGTCCTTAATGAAGTGACAAGTTCCCGGAATATTAGCCGGGAAATCTTTGGGAAGACTGGAACGGTCGCGAGCTTCGAAAGTAAATCCTGGCGTATCCAGTAAACGTCTGGAAAATATTGTGTATTTAATTACATTATATTTTGTAGCTTTGTTAAAGTAGGAATTTTGACACAAAGGGACAATTTCAATAAATGATTAAGCCCAGCCATAACGCCATTAGCCTTTTGAATAAATAATATCCAGCCGCGGTTATATGGATTAGGGCCAGAAGGGTCATTCATACTAACATTAATTAAATACAAAATCCAATTTACTCACTCGTAAGTTGTAGGGCTAATGTTGATTTTCAAAGGCTCGCTCCCTGACTCGAACTTGTTGGCAATAGTGACGTTGTGGCCGAACATGCAGTACCTGGGCATTTTTACGCCCACTACTCCGGCCAGTACCGAGCCTGTGTGCAACCCTATCCGCATCTAAAATAATATAAAATCAATAATTGGAAATGCAATTTCCCAAATGGAATTGTAATGTTATATTTTGTTTTCCTCAATAGAGAAACATAATAAACGAGATGGGAATTTTAAAATAAATATAAATTTTGTTTCAATTTGTGTCAGATAAATATGAAAACATTTTCATTTATATTTTATGATAAATTTATTTCTTTTTTGTTTGCAGAAAGACCGAAAAACGTGCCCCTAATGTCAGCTCAAGGTAAGCCCCTTAATATCTTATTTGGGTGTTGGTTGATTATTGTACCATTTTACTGCTGAAACCGTATCAAGTTTGTAGTAACTTTCCAAGACACGCTTGCTTTACTTAACAAATTAGTGAGAAGTTTTGGCGTATATGATTTAACTTATACACGAGTTTACGAAAGGCAAAAATCCTAGTCGTAATCATTATTAATCCAGGTGTGATCCTAGAGCTGGAAGAGCCAATTTTTAAGGCGGATAGAATTAAATCAAAGAGTATCATAAGTGCAAATGATCTGAAATTTTCAGGGATTATATTCCCTTCAATGGGATAAGATTCAGTGAAAATTTCAGCTTTCTATCTATAATAGAAAAAAAGTTATGACCTGTCAAACTTTTCCAAAATCTAAATCATAAGGTAGGTACCTTCCTACTGAATGGATGAAATTTCAATTTTTTTTTTGTTGAGATTTTGTGTCCTAATGGTCAATTAACATCCCCTCAACTCCATGCACTAAATTTTTCCCAGATTTGAAGCCGAAATCTATGAAAAAAGGCACTCAGAAAAATTGAAAAATTGATAAATCACCCCAAATTGCTTAACACGATTTTATCTCAGGAACCATATGTGCAAGTGAGCTGAAATTTTCAGGGGTTATAGTCCCTTCAGTGGGATAAAATTCAGTGAAAATTTCAGCTTTGAATCTATAATAGAAAAAAAGTTATGACCTGTCAAAGTTTTCCAAAATCTAAATCATAAGGTAGGTACCTTCCTACTGAATGGATGAAATTTCAAAATTTTTTTTGTTGGGATTTTGTGTCCTAATGGTCAATTAACATCCCCTCAACTCCATACACTAAATTATTCTTAGATTTGAAGCCGAAATCTATGAAAAAAGGCACTCAGAAAAATTGAGAAATTGATAAATCACCCCAAATTGCTTAACACGACTTTATCTCAGGAACCATAGGTGCAAATGAGTTGAAATTTTCAGGGGTTATAGTCCCTTCAGTGGGATAAATTTCAGTGAAAATTTCAGCTTTCAATCAATAATAGAAAAAAAGTTATGACCTGTCAAACTTTTCCCAAATCTAAATCATAAGGTAGGTACCTTCCTACTGAATGGATGAAATTTCAAAATTTTTTTTGTTGGGATTTTGTGTCCTAATGGTTAATTGACATCCCCTCAACTCCATACACTAAATTTTTCCCAGATTTGAAGCCGAAATCTATGAAAAAAGGCACTCAGAAAAATTGAAAAATTGATAAATTACCCCAAATTGCTTAACACGACTTTATCTCAGGAACCATAGGTGCAAATGAGTTGAAATTTTCAGGGGTTATAGTCCCTTCAGTGGGATAAATTTCAGTGAAAATTTCAGCTTTCAATCAATAATAGAAAAAAAGTTATGACCTGTCAAACTTTTCCCAAATCTAAATCATAAGGTAGGTACCTTCCTACTGAATGGATGAAATTTCAAATTTTTTTTTGTTGAGATTTTGTGTCCTATTGGTCAATTAACATCCCCTCAACTCCATACACTAAATTTTTCCCAGATTTGAAGCCGAAATCTATGAAAAAAGGCACTCAGAAAAATTGAAAAATTGATAAATCACCCCAAATTGCTTAACACGACTTTATCTCAGGAACCATAGGTGCAAATGAGTTGAAATTTTCAGGGGTTATAGTCCCTTCAGTGGGATAAATTTCAGTGAAAGTTTCAGCTTTCAATCAATAATAGAAAAAAAGTTATGACCTGTCAAAGTTTTCCAAAATCTAAATCATAAGGTAGGTACCTTCCTACTGAATGGATGAAATTTCAATTTTTTTTTTGTTGAGATTTTGTGTCCTAATGGTCAATCAACATACTTCAAACTCCATACATTTAATTATTCTCAGATTTAAAGCTGAAATCTATGAAAAAAGGCACTTAGAAAATTGAAAAATTGATAAATTCACCATAACTTACTTAAGGTAGATATCATTACGACTTTCCAATATTATTTTACTAGTAGAACAATCTAAGGGTAGAACACGTAGTCTATTGAATACAAAAAGTGCAGAGCATGGAAAAGTATTTTAATTGGCACATTTAATCTTCCAGCTTTAGGGATATTTTATTGTAAATTTAGTATTTTTATATTAAGCCATTTTTTTTTTGTAGGGTCCATCATTTGAGCTCAAGGTGACTCTATATTTTTCCGGTGGTGGGATGGTTGATTATTCTTAAAACCGTATCAAGTTTGTCCCAAATGACCCTGCAACTTTGCAAGACACGCTTTACTTACTTTGGCGTAAATGATTCAACTTATACACAAGTTTATAAGAGGCAAAAATCCTAGTCCTAATCATCATTACACCGGACATTTTCCGATATAAAGTTTCGGCGTGCGCTGAATTCGAACTTCAAAATGTTTTCGGCGAGAATTGGTACGTGTTCACATGGGAAATAGCTATACATTGTTGCAAAAACACCATAAAATCTACTCGTAAAGACTTGAAATTTGTATCCGGAGTGGGTCAAACAATTTTAAACCAATTTTGCCGATCGATCGATAAATTTTAATTAGATTTTATGAGAGCCTCGTTGCAGCTTGAGGATTTTAAATGGAATATTTACACGAATAGTTAGGACCTACAAGGAATTCAAATAGTCTTCAAATTCTCAAAATATCATCTGTTCAGTTTCGTCTACGTGCCCTGTATATAGTTGTAGATTGAATTGAGTAATTAGGATGTCAAATCCTATTTGGGAATGGAAATTGATTCGTTTTTCTTTTCTTCTTTATTTGTTTGTTCTAATTGAATAATTGCGAGTTTTATGCCTAAGAATTGATACGGCTTTGCTGAATTTGACTTGCTGAAAGAGTTGGCCAGCTGAGTGGAGTTTGGAAGTAAAGTCAGGTAATTTCAACAATTTCAAATATGTACATACCTTTATGGGTTGTCCGTCGTGCGTCTGATGGTAAGAGCAAGTTTCGATCATGCGCATCGCCATCCAGGCAATTTGCTGCGCGTGCGTCCTGGTATCTTTGTGTAGTCCTCCTGCGACGCAGTAGGCATCTCCTATTGTTTCCACCTAAAATAACAAGTAATCTTATGAGATCTGCAAGCAAATTTAATCTGGATTTATGTCGAGGGAGGTAAGTACAATATTTTAAATTTTTATTTTATTTTTGAGGTCAAAAATTGCCATTTGTTTCAAATGTTCACTTACTTTATATACATCAATCTGGCCGCAATAGACATCGAACTGATTGTAAAGATTCTGCAGCATATTTATCACCATCATCGGTGTGGCCGTCGAACAGATCGACGTAAATCCCACGATGTCGCTGAAAAGCATCGTCACATCCTCGTGGGTTTTCGCCTCGATGGCTTCGCCTGATGGGGCAAAATAAAAACGATTTATTTATTAATAATAATAAAATAAACGAAAAACCTTTTTACCCAGCCAGAGACGTTTCGCTATGTCGGGCGGAAAAATCAGGTGCAACAAACTGACGTTCTTTTCTCGTTCTTTATCCACCGCCCGGTTTCCTTCTTCGATGGAACTTTTCAGTTTGTCCATTCGTCTTCGTAATCCGTCCTGCAATAGCAAAAGTCGGAAACTTTTAAGAGAATAGAAGGGAGTCACGTACCAGCTGATTCCGCATTTACAAATTGACTCTTTATGAGAGCTTTCTATTTTCGAGTCGAGTGAATACGCGGATAAACCTTTCAGTTTTTGGAATTTTCTAAAATAAGTTTTTTGTTTGATGTTTAGTGCCTCTTAGACACAAGGATTTTTCGTAAAAGTGTCACAAGATGCAACCGAGTCGATAATGTGCAAACACATAAAAGTTTTATCAGAGTGATCCCCGCATAATCTGGACAAACGCGAGGGCTTTCGAGACGCCAGAGATAAACTACCGGCCGCCTTTTTGTTGTAATGTTTCCGGAAGTGGAAATGTAGGACAAAGATTTTCCGTCGACACGTGTTTAGATGTGAGAATATTATTACAATAATACACTGATTACAAATGTGTAAATGATTCATGGGCTCTAAAGCGTATTAGCACGTTAGTTCAATTAGGCTAAGCGGAGGTGAAAAAGTGCCGCACTGCACACCAAAGCGCGTTAAATTAGGTCGAGTGCCACACTCAAGGGAGAAAATGTTTAGGGATTTTTGTACCGTTTTTAGAACATTTTATTACAATTATACGAAAAATTATAATAATGTAACGTTTTTGGCATGGAATTATTCAACATGGTGTGATATAAACTGCCGATAATCTAAGATCCCCCACTACCTTGATAAGGCCTAGACTCGAGGGCTTTTTCCGCTTTACTTCTCCTTCCTTAGGACATTTTGTCCCGAAATGCTTCCATGTTGATACCAAAACATGGTCAGTCCTCAGCAAAAACTTTCTTCCGTAAAGGTACCTATAAAAATGTTCTACTCCTTTGTAACACAGTAGTTACGTTCTGATTTTGATAATGTTTTACTGAAGTAAGCTATGTCTCCTCTTCCTGTTGGATCTGAGATAAGACAGCGCCTAGCCCCCACATTGCTGGCGTCGGTATCCAAAATGAACTTTCCCTCTGTAAGCGGATATCCCAGAATTGGTGCTCTGGTTAAAGCCTGCTTCAACTTCTGAAAAGAATCCTGGCAGTCTTGGTCCCATTGAAAACGATTTTGCCTTTCAGTGAGCCTAGTAAGTGGTTTGGCAACACTGACAAATCCTTGTAGTAGGTACATGGGCCAAGGAAACTTCGAAATTTTCGTTGGTCTTTAGGAATCGGCCACTGCCTTCACCTTCTGATTATCCACGGCTACTCCTTGACCAGAGACTACATGACCTTCTGCTTGGAAAAGGTGACATTTCTTCGGGCTGAGCTTCAAACCGTAACTGCCTAGTCTCTAAAGCACTTCCTTCAAATTCTTTAAGTGATCCTCAAACGATCTTCCGACCACAATGATGTCGTCAAGGTACACTAGGTGCGTTAACCAGGATAAGCCCTTCAAAACAGTCTCCATAAGCCTCTGAAATGTTGCAGGGGCATTACACAAGCCAAATGGCATCACGGTGAACTGCCATAATCCAGTTCTGATAATGAATGCAGTCTTTTCTTTATCTTCTGAAGCCAATAGCCGCTTTTCAAATCTAAAGTCGAGAAAATCTTTTATTCAGCCAATGTATCCAGCGTGTCATCAATAGGAGGAAGTGGGTAACTATCTTTCTTTGTCGCGTTGTTCAGTTAGCGATAAACCACACAAAATCGTGTTGACTATGGACTGATCGAGGGCTCGATAACTCTTTCTTTTTCCATATCCAGGATTATCCTTCCAGCTTCTTCTCTTTTAGCCAAGAGTAGTCTTCTTGCCAAGTGACGAATTGACTGTGCATCCCCCCTGTACTACTTTGATTCTTCCCTTTTCCCCTTCACCAATAATATTGTCACACGCCTCGCGGCTAATTAGGTTAGGGGTTGCTCTTCAGGAAAATACACAACTACAAAAAGGAGCTTGACGTATATTGTCTACTAGGGGGTACCAAGGGGCACTATGTAGGTGCGCTACATGATTTTCACGTTCGGGGTTTTACGTACATATACGGGGATGCAACTGATTCCCGCACGTATAGGCGGCAAATCCCTGGGGGGCAAGACTCTCTGGGGTAAGGCGACCCTGCAGAGAAATGTAGCTACTATTCCTTTGACCCAACTAAACTAACATAATGCGACAAGTTATTCAAATACAAACGAGTGAATTGTCGCGGAACTTATGGGTGGACCTCTGCGGGACGAGCGCAGCGAGTTCCGCAGCCATCTACTCACTATTATTACCTTTTAATTTAAATTTTTTCTTTAATCTTTTTCTGTTTTGGTTATGTTGTTGTGTGATCTGTTTTGCTATTGCTACTGTCGCCTGATGTGGAGAGTGGTTGAGGTCTAGTTTGCCTTTTTTTCAGGAAAGGTTTTGCCTTTTCTGAAGAACAACCAAACTGATTAAAAGTATGATTATTGATTTGCCGCGCGTACTGCTCCGTGGTGAAATTATCTCAAGTTTTCCCTTATACGAGTTGCACCATTTTCTGTGATTTTTCTTGTCCGTTGGGGGAAATCAATTGGACAGACTGCTGCGTACCACCTTATTGACACAAGCTTGGTAGCAGGAGTTAGTTAGATGGTTGTTGGGAATAACAGTGCTTTCAGTGGAAAAGGCCATTCTTGGAATAATTGCATTCCTAGGTGTGTTCATCCGCACACTGACTTCTTTTTCTATACCTTTTTGATTGAGCCTTTTTACGGATTTTGTACCTACATGGCGGCTCATCCTCGTGGTATGCAAGGGATAAAAGTCTCTCTTACTTCCTCTACGGAACTCCGCCCAGAACTTGATTTAAATTGGCGTTTCAATCTTTTCACTGTATGGGTCTTTCCTATACAGTTCTTTCTATGATGTCCGTTCTTACTTTTCCTTCAATTTTAAGAAATAATATAAAGAGATTAGCGTAGCAGAGCAGACACTCAACCACCAACATTTCCTTTTTACAGTTCTGTCTTATCACGAGTACTAGAGTGATTCATAGATTCCGATTCAGGTTTCAATAATCCGTGAATTGTGATTCAACTGTTCAAATATTTGGTAATTTTCTTTAAGAATTCCATCTACTCACCAATATACTGTTGATACTGACCTGACTCACTCATATGTGAGTTATTCTCATTAGTTTAAAAACTACACGACACGTTTCAGGTGAATGTCTTACTTGAACAGTTCAATAGTATAGTGGTGAGTAGATAGCTGCGGAACTCGCTGCGCTCGTCCCGCAGAGGTCCACCCATAAGTTCCGCAAGAATTCACTTATTTGTACTTGAACAATAACTTATTATATAAAGTCAAAATTTGTAAGATTATGATTACATATTTACTTTTTGTCAATTTGCCTTTCAACGGGAATTAGTAATGTTACTTTACCAAACCAGTAATATAATGTGACAAACGAGTGGATTGTTGCGGAACTTATGGGTGGACCTAGCCATCTATCTATTTACTAATATGTTGTTCAAGTACAATACTTACCTGATTCACTCAGTTGTGAATTTTTCTCATTAGTTCAAAAACTACACTTTTCAGGTGAGTGTCTCATTTGAACAGTTTAATAATATATTGGTGAGTAGATGGCTGCGGAACTCGCTGCGCTTGTCCCGCAGAGGTCCACCCATAAGTTTCGCAATAATCCACTTATTTGTACAGGGTGTCCAAGACTCTATGGTTTTAGGGGATTTCGGGTATTTGTAAAGAAATTGGAAAAGATCTGACTTCCACTTGCGAGCCTCGATTTTCAAGAGAAGTTGACCGGTAAAACCTGCATTTCGATATCTCGATTCGTTTTTAAGCTACAAAAAGTTATAGACTCCCTGCCAAACTCCAAACTTTTCAAAAACTCCTCGTAGCATAAAAACGACTCGATATATCGGTTATCACCAGTCAATTTCTTTTAAAAATCAAGGCTGGCAAGTGGAGGTCAGATCTTTTCCAACTTCTTTAGAAATACCCGAAATTTGTGCATAAATGTAACACTTGCAAAGCAAAATTTAAACAAAAAAGCATTTTGAAAAGTCACAAACTGACACATTCGGATATTTATACTTTTGAATGTGATATTTGCAAAGCAAACTTTAAACAAAAACCTGGTTTGAAAAATCACAAACTAATACATTCGGATATTTATCCTTTCGAATGTGACACTTGTAAAGCAAAATTTAAACTAAAACAGAATTTAAAGAGTCACAAACTAAGTCATTCGGATATTTATGTTGCATACGGGGATCTAACTGGTTCTCGCACGTATAGGCAGCGAGGCCCTGAATTGGTAAGGCGATCTTGAAAAGAAGTGTAGCTACTGATCCTTTGGGTAAGGAGACCCTGAGGAGAGAAGGACCCGAATGGGTTTTTGATATACAGGATGGTTTTCATTTATAGACCAATTGACAATATTTTAACCAACTAGTTAAAAATGAAAACTAATTTTTCCTGACATTCAACATTTTCAAAAACAGCAACCGTCTGCTATTTTCATTGCTCTTTCAGCTAAAATTTCTCGCGGGATTTGTACGTCGTATTAAAGCGCTGCTCATCGCATATACGTCGTAATAGAATGCAAACGGGGGGCTTTTGTGCATATAAAATCTATTGAAAACTTACCTGTGCTCTAGCCTGTTCTCCGACTAAAATGACGTCTCTTGTCGCGTCGTGTAGTGGAATATCGGAAATAAAAAGGCCACTTCCAGTCAGCTTTTCTAAGCCGTCGATGAAAGGCGAACCGATAAATAGGATCGAATCGGATTCGGGACAATGTACCATTTGCCCTTTCAATTCTAATGTCTGAAATAGAACAAGAATTATCATTTTTTATAAAACTGTTTATGTCCGACCAGGGAGGCAAATGAGAACGCTTGCGTGTATAATAAGTTTAAAATCCTCTTTTTACAAACTGGACCCGGGGGGATAATAAAACTGTGCCAGTTTCCGGTAAATTTATTTCAATTTTGCCGAATTTTTGTATTGAGTGAACAAGAACCCTATTAGCAGTTCTTGTCAGAACCAAAGTTTACGGTAAATTAACCAGCATGTTTATTCTTGCTCTGTTTTTGATGCCAACCCCTTGTTAAGTAGATGACTCCTATTATTGGAATTGCCACACATATCGTAACTTACGTTGGGTTGAAAGTGTCCGTCTTTAACGGCCAAGACAAACGGTGTGTTTGCCCTTTTAACAATTTCGCTAAAACACATCGTGAGCGTTCTGGGTCGATTGACGTGGAAGTAGGTTGAGACGGCGGTGCCGTTGGTTTTCAGTAGACGTCCGAACAACCGCATGAAACCGATGCCCAGCTGTACGAGTTCGAGTTTTTTGTCTGGTAAAAGATTTCAGGCAATTAGACACCAATAAATGAAAATAATATATGAAATTGCGCTTACCTACAACAAAATGCCAAGGAAAAGCTCGACAAAACACCGGTATTCCTATGGGTAAATTGTCGCTAATTATTCTAGAATCTTGTTTGTACAATGTTGCTGTTGCTGAGGGTAGTTTGTGTATATGAAACCTAAAAGACAACTAATGCAAATTTAACTATTTCCTGGCAGTGAATGTTAATGTGGCTACTTAATTTCCGTTAGAATACTAACTATATTAGCTGAAACGGTGTAGTTACCTAAAATGTTTGTCGCTGTCTGAACTCTTCGTCATTGTAACGTCTGTTTCGGTCGAATATAATATTCTGGCTACGGCCTTAAGGCTGCCGACCAGAAGATCCGCTACCGCCGGTCGTTCGGTCGTAAAATCCAAATGCAAATTGGAATCGTCCAGGGCGTTGCATACAAAAGCCGCCTCGGCTTCCAGACGATCTCCTAAAGGAAAATTAGCGTTACGTGTTAAATGCATCAAATTGAATTCTTACCATCTCTGACATTTTTCTGATATTTCAATACGTCGTGGACGCCGTCTAGTGTAGTAAGGAACTCTTTGAGATCGCCGCCGAGACATTTGAATGCTCGCTCCATACGGTCCGTATAGCACGTGCTTATTAACTCTTGACCCAGTTTGTGCAAGAATTCCGTTTCGTTTATATCTAGTAGCGTAATAAAAAAATTAAATTCTGTTAAAAGAATTAGAAAACTCCTTACCTGAATCGCTCTGTAAAATATGGTAAACATCCTCGAGATAAGCATAATGCTGGTGGGTGGGTACGTTTTGGGGTAGCTCTTTTCTAGAATAAAAAGTAGGTCAGGGGGTTTTCGAAGTAAACAAGTAAGGAATTGATTTTCAAGATTATTGGGGATTTAATAAAACTGCAAAAAAAAAAAAACGAATCATATCAAAGGGCGGACGATAAATCCTCGGAAACGTTCTCGGTTAATTAGATTCTTCTTTTTTTGTGTGTGTGTGTGTGCTTTCATCAGAATCTTTTGATTTATATTTCTGTTTTGTATTTGGACAACTAACAAATTCAATTTTTCACTTACAGACATTCGTATTTTGTAGGATCGCACTCTTGTTCTCGATGGACTAGAGACTTTACGGCCGCGTGCACAGACTCGTTCTGAAACAAACAATTCTCAATCATAATAATTAGTTAATTCATTTGATGTTTGTCGTAATTTGAATTTTTGCAATTCGAAGTTTGACTATTCCCGGCTTTCGGCACCCAATCAAGAAACGGGAATTTGATTTTGAAAATCCAAATTTCTAATTAGTAAGTAGGTCGGGAATACGGTCAGAGAACTCCCTACTTTGAATTTAAACGGTCCCTGCTCGGGCGCCAATTTTGTAAAGCTCTGCTAGCTTTCTGCTGGATGGCCGGTCGAGTTACGGCGGAACCAGCTCGAGCGCCACCTTTTGAGTTATTTGAAAGCGACAAAGGGTCCTTATTCTTGAAACGGGAGAGCAACGTGAACCAATGTTCCGTCTTTCGCACGCTTCTCCCCTGTTTCAAGAATAAGGACCCAGCCGTAAGGTACCTAAGTGAAGTACAAAATGTCCAGGATTTCAATAGTAGGAGCAGGGAGTTGGAATTCGTAGCTTGGCCATGTTCGGTGATCCAGTTCCAACGGTCGTACCCCACGGACGGGTATTGGAGTCCCCGGAGAGCATGTCTGGAGCGGAGTGTAGGCCGAACGGCATTACCTTAAACTGAAATAATCCCTGAGACGGACCGGTAAAATTGGTTATCGGTCGGCTATCTTTAACGAGTGGCACCTGCTAGTATCCACTTTTTCAACGTGGTTCTGTATGTCTCCCACTGCCCGGTTCTCATGACTTTATTAAACTCTGTCCTAGTTATCTCATAAATATTAATATTCAATAATTATTCGTGCGCCTTGATAGTAATTGCACAAATATTGTCGAACATTTGCCAATTAACTTAGTTATAAATTACGCGCAAACAAAGTGCGGTTTCGATGAAAATTACTATGCGCCAATAATGTATTAATTAATTTGCCACAAAAATCCATTAAATTTGACCGCATCCAAACGATAGAAAAGGAAACCTTTGGGGGAATGTGTTTCACCGAATCGATAAATAATTCAACAATTTAAGTGGAAAGTTTTGGAAACTTGTTGTATCTTCTTAGAATCAGTAACACAATTCAACAGACATAAAATCCAGGCTACCAACCATAGAAGACAAATTTATTAATCGAACATTCTGTAATGGAAATTGGGACATTAAGCATCTATTCTTTATTTTCCACAACCCAAAGAATAACACTCTTTGTTCGCCTACAGAGTTCTCCAGGCTTTTTGTTTGATTCTCCTTTTTTCCTTGGCTCAATATTTAATAACGTTAAACATTCCCATTTTTCCAGACAAAGAGATAGTTATTACTTTCACATCACTGGCGAGACTTGGGGGAATATAAGAGTACACTTTTTTTTTTCTTGTTTGAATTTCACAAAGAACGTCTTAATATTTTCACCAGCTCAACAATATCTTATTCGAACCACGTTTCCCGTCTGCCTGTTTGCCATCTTTCCGCTTTAAAAAGAAAACGTTGTAATTCAAGAAAAATTTGTTTGCTGATGATGTTAGCTGGAAAATAAATATATTTTTATCTGCGCCTCGATTTTTCCAACCTAGAAAATATTGACTTTATTGAAAGTAGTTCATTTCCTTTATCGAACTCTATTTTCTTCAATACTCCCATTTTTGACTTGAGAGAGGAGTTGCTTTGAGAAAAAAATGTATATTAATGATAAAACTTTTCCTCCAAAGAATCCAGTCATTAAAGTTTCTTCAACGCCCTGAATAATAATCTGCTTTGAGGCGAGAATCATTAAAATATTGCGCCTAGCAACTTTGTTTTTCATCAAAAGAGGAATGCGTTGATTACAAACTGGCCTTTGATTTATTCGATGGAAATTGTTTATTGTGACAGTACGAGGTAATTAAATGGTTCATTTGGGACAAGGAATTGCAATTTGGGGAACAGTGAATAACGTTTTTGCATATATTTTTTTAATGCCCGCGTGCTTCATAAATTTAAATCGGCTTTTCGGATAGTTTTACTTGATGGGAAACAAAGTTTTAAGTTACTTAAACTTTTATAGCTAAATCAATAGAAAGTCAACTTTCGAATCTTGCGAATATTTTATACAGTCTGTTGGTATTTGTGATACTGATTAGACAAAGTTTATTAGATGTGAACAGTCATTTTAATTATTCCATAGAGCTCGTAGTCTTGTAACTCACTAATTCTTTTAATCAAAAAATTCCTGGAATTATTCAAAATTCAGTTGCTGCAAAATTATTTTACGCTTTTGAAAGGACTTGTAACAATGTTACTAAATTTTCCTGGAGTTGAATGTGTGCTTGACTATATTTCGATACGCGATATTCCGGAGTCGTTTTTTTATTTTCTTTAATTGTTGGTTTTATTTCTACCCATATTGTATCTATGACCCCTGGCATACCGTTTCTTCACTGTATAAAAGCAAACTGGTGCAGGTGGGCCTTTTACCACCATAATCCAAAGAGTGGCGCCCGAGGACTGTAAGTCGAAAAATCCCTTAAACATCACGATATACAGAGAGACCTAAAATAACGCTACAGAAACTTTAAAATAATTATTTTGGGCAGCCATGCGGTGCACAACGCCAAAAACTTCAACAAACACTCATAAAAGTTTTTGCGGAAAAAGAAAATTCATATTTTTGCATTGAACCGCTGAAAAACGGCGAAACAATCTAGCCATTATTCAAAACTTGGTCTGTGCAAAATTTCCCCCGTTTGTTTACACTCGTTTTTGTGTAGAGCGGAGATACATATCCTTTTGCATAATAATATTTCATGCTTTTACGATTCCTTGAACATCTAAAACTCACATCAACTACAGTTTTGAATACGATGTACTTTTGATTGAATTCAATTCGAATCCCGGCTCGACTGAACCGAGAAATTAAAGATTTGCCAATTAGTGATTGAGCCAGATGCAAAATTAAACTTTCCACAGACCAGGTGCTTCAATAATTATAATTTGTTCCGAATAAATTGTACGAAATTATCTTGACAAGGGTCCAAACCTTTTTTTTTTATATGCCAACTTGTTACAGCCAATAAAAACCCTCTCGGCTATTGTTTCGAATCAAAAAAAGGTTTATTATCCAATCCGTCCGAAGAATTTAATTGAAACAGAAACCCTTATTTTTGCATATCGGAGTGAAGATTTAAAATTTGAATGTGTGCCTATAGGATTTCAATAGTCAAAGTCCAAATTTCAATTACCGCACAATACGAAATGCCGATACCAATTTACCGGTCGGTCACTTTGCGGTCAAACCATTTGGGGCTCAATTCACAGATACTTTAAAATCTCGTTTCAAATTAACCAAATTCTTTTCACAATTTTGTTGTTTACGATTGTCCAAAGTTCAACAGCTAAGCTGGACACGTTTCCCTGTGTACGTGCCTCGTTAACTGATGCTTTGAATCAATATTAGCTGCTTAGTTAACTTCACATCAATTATACGCTGAATTGAACTTGTGGAAAAATTAATGCAATTATGCAAGGAGAGATCCTCAATCATTAATCATTAATCAATAGACCGGATGGATGTATGTATTAATTGACCCATTATCTTGCCGTGTATTAGAAGCGGAATCTTATTATAAATGCAGTGTGAAAATTTCAATTACCGAAATATGAGGCTGGTGGGGAAATGGACTTTGGTTTATCGAGCATCATCAATCGTATTTTGACGGATGGTAATTAATATCGCAATCGGGCGTGTTTAAAATCGGACCGAAATAATTACTTTTGAAATTACGGCTGCGTTTAATTTAAAACTACTTTGCTGCTATTTTTGTTGTATATTTTAATTTTCACTTGCTCGAGCAAGTGCAAAATAAGTCCCATACAGTGAAAAGATTGAAACGCCAATTTAAATCAAGTTCTGGGCGGAGTTCCCTAGAGGAAGTAAGAGAGACTTTCATCCCTTGCATACAACGAGGATGAGCCGCCATATACAAGTTATCCGTGAAAAGACTCAATCAAAAAGGTATAGAAAAAGAAGTCAGTATGTGGACGAACACATCTAGGAATGCAAAAACTTATGGGTAGACCTCTGCGGGACGAGCGCAGCGAGTTCCGCAGCTATCTACTCACCAATATGCTGCTGAACTATTCAAGTAAGGCAACTCAAATTTGAGTGAGTCAGATTAGTATCGCAATTAAACAACATATTGAGGAATTGATGGCAACAGTATATTGGTGGGTAGATGAAATTCTTAAAGAAAATTACTAAATATTTGAACAGTTGAATCACAATTCACGGATTATTGGAACCTGAATCGGAATTTATGAATCACTTTAGTACTCGTGATAAGACAGAACTGTAAAAAGGAAATGTTGCTTGTTGCTACTCATCAATATATTGTTGAACTGTTCAAGTAAGGCAACACAGATTTGAGTGAGTCAGGTTAGTATCGTAATTAAACAACATATTGATGAATAGATGGCAACAGTATATTCGTGAGTAGATGGAATTCTTAGATAAAATTAGTTAGTCCGTAAGAAGACTTAATCAAAAAGGTATAGAAAAAGAAGTCAATGTGCGGACGAACACACCTAGGAATGCAATTATCCTAAGAATGACCTTTTCCATTGAAAGCACCTTTATTCCCAAGAACCACCCAACTTTAACTCCTGCTACCAAGTCTGTGTCAATAAGGTGGTACCCAGCAGCCTGTCCAATTGATTTCTCCCAACAGACAAGAAAAATCACTTAAACAGAAATTGGTGCAACTCGTATAAGGGAAAACTTAAGATAACTTCACCCCGGAGCAGTGCGCGCAGCAAATCAATAATCATAATTTTAATCAAATTTTTGTTGTTCTTCAGAAAAGGCAAACTAGCCCTCAACCACTCTCCACATCAGGCGACAGCAGCAATAGCAAAACAGATCACACAACAACATAACCAAAACAGAAAAAGGTTAAAAAAAAAATGAAATTGAAAAGTAAGAGTAGTGCGTAGATGGCCTGACTCACTCCTTACTTGAACAGTTTAACAGTATATTGGTGAGTAGATGGCTATGGAACTCG